AGAGAGAGAGAGAGAGAGAATCCGAAAGCTTAAAGTGTGTGAGCTTTTTAATTCTCTGAGATGTTACAGGGAAAGGTTTTGTTCAGTAACGCCGGACCTGCTGCTGTCCGTGGTGCTGAAATCACCAAGGGCAGCAATTCCAAAGCTGAGCACAAGTACTCCTTTAGAAGTCCTCAAGAGCCAGTCATATTTTACCATTCATCAACTGACTTACAAAAAAATCATATCATAATTAATTAAATCCCATAGTTAATTAATGTCAATTTCCATTTAATTTCCATTAAGTTATTACATTCTAATTGATTAACTAATTAATGTATTATAACTCATAAAGTACAGCTGCATTGTGACGTATAAGATTTTATATATTATAATGTATTTGTTAATAATTGTCAGATCTTACTGTGTTTAGTAGTAAAGGATTAATTCCTGCTCAGGGCATCAAACACTGCTCTTTATTAAATGTGTGCACTGGATGTCCTCTGGGGCCACTGCAGTGAGACACCTGTTGCAACATAACCATTTTCACTGCCAGCTCCTCATACATATACTTGGAGCAAGCATTTTTCTTTTAACATTTTGACTACATCATATATGTAAAACCGATAAAGCCACCATGGCATTTATTTATCATTTACAAATTTTGTACCCACCAACACAAACTCTTATATAATATTTGCCCTTTGAGGGTGTAATAGATGTATAACTTAACTCCAGTAGCTTTCAGAGCACATTTATACTGCAATGCTATATTAGATTCAGTGAGCATCAATATCTACTGTTATACTTTTAGTGCAGGTGACAAAATTCAGGCACAGGTAGCCTTAGAAAGGAGTCTTGAGGTCATGAGACTGGTACTGCTGAAGCAGTTGAAGCTGTTTCTAAACACAACCCAGTGTCTTGTTGCAGTTCTGTTTAAAAAAACAAAAAAATCCTGAAATCCTGACCCAACCACATGCCACTTCCCCCATGTCTATAGTGCCTGCACACAGCTGTTCCTACATAATGTTGTTTGTGTAATAACATGAAGCCAGAAGCTGCCAATATTTATCTTTTTACCAAGTAATAAACTAAAGTTTTTACATACTGAGACTGAATAATTCATCCCTTTATGGATGAAGGATCCCAGCCTTACTATTCATCCCACTGACTGGAATTACAGGCTTAAAAACATAACTGTAAAGTGTGTGTACTTATATACACACACAATTTAGTTAGAGGAAAATGTGTCTCTGTTGTGGTACTGGCAACACGATGTTGATAATGTGTGGGTTAATTTTATTTATTTATTTATTTATTTATTTATTTATCTAATAAGGAAATCCCACTGAGATAAAATGTTCACAAGGAAAAAAGGACAGGCATACAAAATATAAACATATTGTATTAAAAATGCAATAAGTACAACATGAAATCCATGATATGCAGACATTCACTACATGGCACCTTTAAATCCAGAGACAGATGTAAGCATGTTTAAGTTTGATTCTTTCTGCAAGTATTTCATTTCCAAGGTGTTTGGTGAGATCCTGTTTTGAAATCTCCAAATCTGTCAAAAACATCAGCACATCAGAAGCAACTGTTTAGACACACACACACGCACACACAGACACACACCGGTGCTGTTTCCTCTGTGGTCACTGATGTCCAGGATTAAAGAATGCAGTGGTGAGTCAGAGATTTTGTTTCTCTAATAAATCTGTATAAATAAAGAAGTACAGATGAGCAATATGCTGAATCAATGTTCAATAAAAGTGAGGAGGTGGCTTGAACATACATTATATCACCAAATATCACCATCAATCCTCAAAATAGCTTCCACATTAGTTTTTTCAACAATTAAAACAAAATCTATAAATTGTATTTTCTAATAAGAGTGCCAACTTGTACATTAAAGAAAAGCTTGTCATTTATCCATATACCCTAATACTTGTATTTGTGTATTTTTAAATTGATTTACATCACATGTAAAAAAAAAAAGCTAAAATCATCAAACCCTTGTGGGCAAGGTTTTTTTAATTTAATTTAATTTAATTTAATTTAATTTAATTTAATTTAGAAAACTATAAACTTTGATTTGTCAGCATTTACAGTCAGTTTTGAATGTACACAGACAGTTTGTAATGAGTAAGTTACAGCACGAAGGCCCTGAACTGCTTTACAACAGGGGGAGTGTAATTTAAATGACAGTCTCATCAGCAAAGAGATGTATTCTTGCTGAAATATAATTTTTATTGTAGTATTAAGATAACTTCTAAAATGATAAAACAAAATATGTCCTCAAATGGAAGCCTCTGGGACACCTTTAGTTATTCAAGTAAATCAAATTTGTGCATCTAGACAAGAACATTGACTAAGCATTGCTAGTACTATGTCGTAGATTTCCACTGGTTGGTTTATTTTCAGACATGCCTCATTTCAGAAGCCAAAATAGTGCAAGCCCACAACCCATGATTTTTATCAATAACAAATAAATAAAAACCAACCAAACATACAGACAGAAAGGCTGAATTTTAGTAAACAGTCAACAGAATAGCAAACTTTTATTTGTTTACAAAAATAAAGATCAACAGATCTTCATGCAAGATCCTGAGCAGGGTCCAAAGTACGAAAAATGGATGATAAAAAGTTCCAGGTTCAGAGGCTAAAGTTCTGTTATTGTATTTTTGTAACAGGAAGGTTAAATGAAAACTGTTCAAAGTGCAGAGAAGGTGGTAGATCCCTCCATAAGGACTCAAAGTGTTTAGCATTTTGGATTGTTAGCAGCTAAGTACACCTTTCTGCCACATGTCAATAATCTCTAATTAATCCAAATAACATTTCTATTAATCAGTTTTTGTGTTTAGCTGCTTCCTTTACAAACACACTAAGAAATCAAAGTCTTCATTTCAGAGCAGCTTTCTTGAAAGAGATGCTAGATGCTCCAAAACTATTTACATCCTGTTTTATGGCACATTTGTGTATAAAGTGCCTTTCAAACACTCAAATAAATTAGCAGTGCTTTAAATGGGTTGTAGAAATGCATTAAAACACAATAAACTGAGAAATAAAAGCAGATAAAAGATAAACATGCTGAGCATTATTTTTGTAAGGGTGGAGGCAGCATGTAGATCATGAATGAAGTCCAGTATAATATTACATTACACTTTATTATTGTTTAAGTGAAGCTCCTGTTATAGATGAAACTAAGATTAAACTGGTGAGTCCTTCCACCCGTACACAGAAAAACAAACTGCAGCTCCTTCATTGTAACAGAGGGGGATGACAGTGACTGAATCATAGGCCATTAATAATAAATATTTTCCCTGAAGCGATGCATCAGTCTAACTGTCTGCATGTTTTCCTGGAGGTGAATGGACTGATGTGGACCTGCAGGGACAAATGGACATTGTCCTACTGGCTCTGAAACCTGACACTCTGCAGGCCTTTTGGGCTCGTGACAGTGATGGCTGATGAGGGACGATACATCCCTGCTGGAGCTTAAGGGAAGAGGGGAGTAAGGGCAGTAAATGCCTAAGTGAATATCCTGTCTTCTGAACGTGGGCTACAGCCTATTAGCAGAGTTAATCTAATAATGCTGCCCCCGGGTCCAGACTGATATTTGATTTTGATACACGGCCACAGGCTGGGCAAGCTCACCAGTTATCAAGCAAATTGCAAAACAGACATTTAACATTTTAAATATTCATGTCTCGGCAGATAGAGTGAAAATGTGCCGTAAACACCATAAAAATCCTCTTCCAGTCTTTGGATTGATTGGTTTAAGCCATACTCTGACATCTTCCATACCACCTTCCTTTCAGAAACCAGTGCTATTTTGTTCATTCAACAGTCCAGGCTAATGATTGTAGTTTATCTTAATTTTGGAAAGAGGAGCTGACAAAACAACCACAACTTGGGGTCTAATTTTACACATTTTCTGCAGCTTTCGGGCTAATCCACCAGCAGATGTATTGAACACACTGAGAACTTCTCATTTGTTTGTTTAATAGATCTGCTTGATATTTCACTCAAACAGCAGTTGACAGGTGCTGCTGCTACATGGGATTTTTCTGGAGCTTTAAACCACATGTCATAACAATCGTCAGTGGGTAAAGGGTGCCCCAAAGGGCTGTTAGGTGGACTAAAATGATAGAATTTGATGAGTATATAGTTTTAAAGAGGACTGCAGAGCGGGAAACAAGAGCCAATCAGGGTTGGCCTATGATATATAAACACAATTATCAAACCAAAGTAGTGGAAAACTAGATAAAATCTTAAAGGGAGTTATAGCTGTTGTATTGCAAATTACTGAAATTCTTTACCTTTGGTCTACTCACTAAAGTTTTCTGGAGATTTTTCCTCCATTGCTTATTCCTCAATCTAAAGATCGGGTGTTCTTGTGAAAAGCTCCAGAGCAAATAAAGCTTTAGGCCTTGAGCAGTTTTATATCTTTTATTATGACAGTTCTTTCACAAGCTCTAGATTCATTTACTGCCTTTTTAAAGAAACTTTGTTGCATTGTTTACTCTTTAACAATCATCAGACTGTTTACTTGAGCTCCCCAGAACAACTGAATAAAAAGCCCTCGAGTTTCCATTTATTTTAAATGTTACATTTGCATTTGCCTGTCTGCACAACAAGTGTATACGCAGGCCTTGAGGTGGCATCGTCAGTGACATGAACTTGTT